GCAAAGTCTGGTTTGATATTCAGCTGAACCTGGCAAGGAGGGGGCGTGAAGGAAATCGGGAATTGAGAAAGCATTCGTTCGTCATTAAAAAAGACGAAAATGATGATGAATATATTTGCTTATCTTATAATGCAGAAACAAAAAAACCCACAAAAAGCCCACCGATCCCAACAAAGACTGCTACCGAGGATTCATGTTTGCCAATACAGGGGACCCCCTTTGCCCTGTTAAAAGTTTCAGAAAGTACATCGCCAAATGCCCACCTAATGCCACATCCTTCTACCTTCATCCACTGAAAGTCCCACAGGAGGAGCTTGATGGGAGAGATTGCTGGTATTCCCACGAACCGATGGGTGTAAACTATCTTGGAAACATGCTTCCGCGTATCAGTGGGGCAGTCGGCTTATCCAAAAGATACACCAACCATTCATTAAGAAGCACTGCAGTTCAAATGCTGTCAGAGGCAGGGCTGGAGAGCAGACAGATCATGTCTGTCACAGGGCACAAGTGTGAAACAAGCCTGAGAAGCTAGGGCACCTTCCGCTAAAGAAAGAAAGACATGGAGCTTGATCCTCTCAGGAAACAAAAGTACAAACGAAAATCAAGCCAAGGATCACCAGGGAAAAAAAAACCTCTGCTAACATGCAGCCCAATGCGCTTGATCTGACATTTTCGATGTCTGCAGGGGCGGACTGGCCATCTGTGTGATCTGGAGAATCACAGAACGGCCGGTAGGCCTACTCCAGGACGGCCGGCGGGCCGGCCCACCGGCCCACCACCCCACCACCCGCCACACACGCAGTCACAGACATCCCAAGTCTCCCGGAAGTTCCGGGAGTCTCCCGCATATTGATAGCGGCTCACTGATGCCCGCAAATTAGTTAAAATCTCTTGGAATCTAGAGCGAATAAGAGCGCACATGCGGTGCGCGCACGGCAGAGAGAGGGAGCGAGCTAGAGACCTTGCGTGTGTGTGCTAGTGTGCGCGTGTGCCTCACGAAGCGCATGTAAGGACCCAACCAATCAAGTGCGGGCGGGCTTTTATCTCTACTACTCACGAACCGAATTAATCAGAAATTACTTTGCAAGTTACTTGCTAGGGATGATGTTAGGAAGTGATATTCAGCTTGCTACATTTTTAATGATTACAGTAGTTAAAACAGCTAAACTTCAACATTTTAGCTGTAAAATGCCACATGCAGTAGCTAATATTAAGAAATATGTTGTGCTTTTACTTTTAAAAATGTTGGTAACGTTACAGTTAATGCTTACAAACTTTGAAGATTTTGAATACAGAAGTTACATTTGTAATGGTGTAATTTCATTTAGATGTGGTATTATTATTTGTGCAGTAGCTAAGATTAATTACTGCATAAATTAATTAAGATTATTAAGTAATAAATTCATGTTAAGACAGCATGGAATAGATTGTATAATTTGCTGTTAGCTAGGTATAGTATTATGAGCCACAATTAAAGTCACTCATGCCAGGCGGCAGGCGTTATTGTTGTTGTTGTCGAGTTTCCGCGCGCCGATTGCTTTGGGCCGGGCCTAGTCAAAGTCCAGGGCCGTTTTTTAGTCCCAGTCCGTCCCTGGATGTCTGACTTCACCATCAATGGAAACGTGCAGTTTAATTTTAATAAATAAATTCGTTCGAATTAACGAATGAATTATAACGTATGAATTAATAAATTAATTAAATAATATGACGCACATGATTTTCTGTCTCATTATTGCAACCTCTGTCTCTCTAATAACTACACTAATAACTGCATTAGTCTGCTGTCAGTGGCTCAAACCTCCGTTACTTACTCTAAAATGACGTTTTGGAATTAGCAACGGAGGCATGGGATTAGATGCGTAAGAAATTAGTCCTACATACAAGAGCGTTTTAATGACAAAAACTTGACAAACGTCTAGAATCACATCATCTGAACAATGTTTCGAGGTGTGGTAACTGTAGTAGCCTATAAGCGGAATAATTGACTCCGGGCCGTTGAATTATTAGAAAAATAATGCACACCCGAGGTGTAACGGCCACTCCGCTTCGCGTCGTGACCGCATTACCACCCCGGGTGTGCATTATTTTTCTAATAATTCAACGGCCCGTCGTCAATTATTCCTTACTTAACCCTAACCCATAAATGAATTGTGTGTGTGTGTATAATATTATATATATATATATATATATATATATATATATATATATATATATATATATATATATATATATATATATATATATAATATTATTATTAATAATATTATATACATCAGGTTACCATAAGTTAGCTAACGCTAGTGAAGTGTTGGTCACGTAAGCTATAGCTGCAATTAACCTATTATCTTCCAATAAACATTAACTTAAACTGGCTACATAAAATATAACTACTGACTAGATTCACGAGAGGTCGGCTAATGTGTGTAAAAGTAAAAAAAAAAAAATACAGTAATTTCATTAATTTACCAGCGAGCGTACTTCGGAAACACTGAAAATAAATGGGTTTCAATGCTGGAACTATCAGTGTTTGGAACTATTGGCTGCTCCACGACACGCGTTACTTCCGCATTCCAAAGTTCCTATGGTAGGCCTAATAACTTGATCATTTTCATTTAGCTACCATTTTTGTATAACCAGAAAGGAATGTGATCAAAATATATTTTTTTAAATAAACCCTGGCATAAAATGTGACAACTCTAATTATAGCCTATTTTTTTTTTTTACGCTAAGCGCTATTTCATATTTCCACTCTTCTGCTAATGTGGAGATAATAATATGCATTATTATACATATAAACACGTAATCACAAAACTAGATAAAATATTGGCCTAATATTTTATATATATTCCCTCGCATGTAATCATCATCATTATAAAAAAAAGTTGGTTGGTGAACGTTGGCCTACCTGTGATAAACTGATAATGTTTAATGCTCTTGGACTCCTCAGCAGTAAGTTTGTCACGCTCTTTACAAGGAATTTGATCGTACCAATCCATAATGTTTTTATTTGTTAGTTCAAGCAAACCAAATGATCTCCATCAATAAAAATCGTTATAAACCAAAATGAAGAAATAAACGTGTTTGTGTGTGTGTGTTTCAAAACACATATGGAGTGCTAAGCCAGGGGAGCCTTGATTTCTTGTAGGCTACATTTCAGTTTATATTTTGAAGCAAACAAAAATATCAAATATGAGACTGGGTATGTTTGTAACACTTTTTGCTTCAGCATCTGTAACTGATATTTTGTGCTAGAATGCTCAAACTTTTAAACAAAATACCCACATTTGTTTACTACAAAATGCACCAATTCAAACCTCTACAAGAATATCACACCCCTTATGATGACAATGTCTCTCTTTGTGACTGACCACAGCTCAAATCCACTTACTGTTTGACAGTGTGTGCATGTGTTTCCAAATTAGTCTACTAGAACAAACTTCCTTAACGGTATGCTTTAACGAACACTCGACTCCAGTGTACCTGTGTACAGAACATGCAAGTCTAACAAAAAACACTGTCAATGTGTGTGTGAGTTTGTGTACATTTTTGAATATTCTCAGTCAGAGTCATAATCATACTGCAAACTCAGAAGAGGTGACGTTTGTGAATGTAATTCTTGTAGAGGGGTCTAGGGACATCGTCCCCCAGAATAATTATTTTGTGAATTTAACATGTAAATGAAGCGTTCTGGTACACTAGAAAATAAAGGGAAAAGACATTTGCTTCAAGAAAAAAAAAGGAAAAAAAAAAAAGGCACTTTTATTAATACCACTTAAACTTTTTGGAACACCAGTCACAACTTGATGGTCAAAATGTTTATTTCTTCTGTCTTTTAGCCTGCACAAGTCTTCAAGCGCCCGCTTTCGCAGCTGAGATGTGCCTCTTTCTTACAACATGTTCTTCCTCTTCAGCTTCAAGCCTTTTCTCTGCAGCACTTGTAAGCGGCTGGCAGTCAAACTCCATCCTCCTCTCTCGGACTCTGAGCAACTTTTGTCTCTGGGCCTTGTCTCTTGCTCCTGCAGAATTGATGTTGCTGCACAGCTTCTTGTGTACTGCCCCACACTTAACATCATCCCTTCCGAACATCTCTAAGATTAAGAATTAAATTTACGTCGTATTGACTTGGTAGTATGCAGATGTATTTTTGTTGGGTGCTGTTGTCATGGTGAATCGTAATTTTGGAGCCTTTTAATTTGTTGCATACATTTGGATTCCTGGTTTTATAGATTTAATTCTTTGTTTTTATTTTGCACTTTTCTTCTAGTGAAGATTCTTCTGAAGGCACACCTCCTCTTCTTCTATGTGATTGCTGAAATCTCACTAGATTATTGGTCAAGATAGCTTTGTTCTTCTGTAAGGTAGTATCACTTATCTTTGCGACATTAAAAATTTGCTACTGAAACAAATATCAAGAATCAATTTGAGTTGTTTGCTCATAAAGCTCCCTCTCTATTTCGGTCTCTCTCTCCTATATATGTATGTATACCAAGCTTTGGATTATTCTAAACAATTCCATAGAGTTCTAAACAGTTACAGAAAGTTTAAGGAAGAGCAACTTGTAAGCAGGCAATATGGTTGTTGTTGTTTTTTTTACTTATGAGGAATAAGGGCCTTTTTCATTGAACTTTTGCTTAAAAACATAGATTTGTGATACAGAAAATATTTTATTTGAAAAAGTCAAAAATGTATAACGCTATTGTATTGTAAGTTAATATAAAGATAAAAAAAAAAGGTTTGACCAAAAGATTATGGTATAAAGATGTTCTACATTTTTCTTTCAATTTAGGCTTGATCCCACCATTTGTTACAGGTCTTTTGTCTAGAATCTATTCTCACAAGAACCAGCAATTTTTCGTACAGTGACAAATGCCAGGCAACAAGAAAATCGCTACTGCTCGTTTGCCAAAATACATGCTATACTGTACATCATCATACTCCATTATTGTTATTCAGACCATCTTATTACTATATTTTAAAAAGTACAGACAAATTTATAATTAATTACTTGCAACATAAGCCATGTTTTCTGGAATTTTTAATAAGTTGTGTTGGATTCATAGATTTTTAGGTCTGTTAACAAAATCTAGTGAATTTTACTTTAACCATGTCAGTTTTATCTAGCTAAACGAAGCCTGAAAATCCATTTTATATAGGCTTTTATGAGGTCACGATTTGTAGTGTCATGTTTTACTGCTGTTTGCATAACAGCAAAAAGAAAGACTAGGTTCTGTTTAAAGCACATGGATGTGTCTTACGGTCACCTCCACATTGGAAAACACTTTGTCTGGACCTGCAAAAATATTCAGAATGTGAAATGATGCTTCAAATGTTCACGTTGGTATTACATTGAGATTTCTTAATGCACACAAGGTAAAAGCCTACTTGTAAGGTGATGAATAAAGCAAAGCACATTGAAGCAAAACAACTGGAAAACAAAGAATATGATTGATTTGAAGGAGATCAAGCAATGATACATGTAGATACTCACCTTAGAAACTTCTGTGCTGTTTATGTTCCATGAAAATGTGACTGACATGTGACGTCTCCAGATTGGATTTCTCTGCAGACGTATGGACCCCACTATAACGTCCCCTTCCTCGACTGTCACTGGGGCATCCAACATGAAAAGAGTCTGTTTCCAGTGAGTTATCCTGGGGAAAATGAAGGCTCTGTTTTACAGGTTTTACATTTAAAGTTTCAGATTTATGTTTTACACACAGATTATCCAGTGCACTGTAAATTTAAAATTAGAACTTGCATTCAGATCTGAAATTGTGAACTGAATATCAAGTGTGCTATCATGTATTTGTATTTGATCCCTTTTCTGTTTATGCATCATACTCTGAATATGGTCCGGTGTTCAATTCCAGTGATGGTCCATCCTCTTCTAAACTCTGAAAATGTGCACTGAACCAGACAGTGAAACCATGGAACATGCCTGACTTCTCAACAGTGAAACTAAACTCTCCTTTGAGGGTCTGGACAAAAGTGGGGAAAAGCAGTGCACTGTAGTTAACATGTGTTTCCTTTTAAATAATGGTTATTTAATTTAATCCAAATTCTAACATTTACCTCTAAGTCTGAGACCTGTATTGTGACCATATCAAGAGTGATAACATCAGCTGGGCTGGACAAACAGTCCTCAGTTAGGAGATGATGGCTGAATTTAGGCTTGGAGAGAAACTCTTTCTGTGCAAGTGACCTACAATACACATACACAATACATATATACATGGTCAGAGTTATCAGAGTACTACTTAAATGTGTGATATAACTGATGTATTTAGCTGAACAATTGGGTCACCTTGTTTCAAAAATTTTTACAAAACAGTTTTAATTACTCTATCTATTAATTATTTAATAAATACATAAACTGCTACATTACCTAGTTTTAGGAAAATACATGTATTTTCTCAATTAAATGAATTATTTTTACAAGCAAAATGTGCAGTAGGCCTAGGTAAAGAACATCTGAATATTTTTTTTTTCTTTTTTTTGGACTGTTATGGTCCAAATGGTCTCAAGGTCATTTTTAGTGGATGTATGAAGTTCAAATTCACAGGTGTCCTATCATATCAGAGCAATCACAGCTGTAGTTCATCACATTAAATAAGAGTATGTTTAACTAACATTTGACAACCAGAAAGTGCTACAATAATTAATAATATAATAATTAACAATACTAATGTAAACATTATCATTTTAAAGCCACTTGATTTGATATTTTGCCACCTATTGCAAAATGCAAGCACCTCAAATACCCACAACACACATGTCAGAAAGAGCTGTATATCAATATGAAAGGCCTCACTGTAGGTAGCTGAAGTCTAGGCCATAGGGTTTCTCCCAGAACTCCATTTTTTGCCTGTAGTCAGAGAAGGCCTGGCAAGGAACGACGGTCAGACAGGCAGAGGATGGCCACATCATTCCACCCTCCTTCAGCCAGCGATCACGTGCCAGCAACACTGACTCCAACATGTACTCAAACTGAAAGATAGTGGTTAAACCGTGACAATTATGGAAGACATAATATTACAGTTAAAGTGAAAATAATTTCACAGGTGACATTGTTTATCCACTCAACAGACATAATGTCTGTGTTCCGATGTTCAGTTTGTTTTTGTCTGTGAATATTGAAGTGAAGTTCAAAGCTGCTCTCATACCAGTAGGCAGTTGCCCATCCACTCTGACACTAGAACATCCACTTTCCCAGGAAGAGTGAGATTCTCAGCTCGGTCCTGAAAGACGGTCACAACTTCCTCACAGCCATTCTGCCTCACTAGTTCCTCAGTGTGTTCTGCCATTGAGCTGGCCTCCACAGCATATACCTACAGGAACAAAAACTGTACAAATTCATATGAAAGAGGTTTTTTATATATATATATATTTGATTAAAGTCAAAAATATTTAACATGGATTTTTTTCCCCTTTTAACCCTGTAAAGCCTGACATATGATGTTACAAGTAGAAAATTCTACTTTTTTTAATGGATCAGTTTATTGAAACTTTGGACAAAATAAAATAAAATCCCCCACCGTCAAATAATTTTTACAATTATGTATGGACAATCAAGTAAACAAGCAAAGAAAGTTGCTTCAGTCCAGTAAATGTTCATCTTAAAATATTACTAACATTAGAAAAGCCATTCTTACATATACTTTCTAAAGAATTCCAAAGCAAAAACATGTTTACCACAACCTGAAGGTGGACTTTTTTTTTACTTCATAAAAAAGTGTCAGGGTTCTGTCCAGACAGTCTTGTCTGTGTTGTCTTTGTTTCATGTTTCTATGTTTGTCCTGTGTTTGAGCACATGGCTCTGTCATTGTTTGTGTTTGCCATGTGCTCCTCTTGTCCCGCCTCCTTGTTTCCCGTTACCACGCCCCCTTGTTTAGTCCATGTCTAGTCCTCTTTTTTACTAATTGTGCTCACCTGATCCTCATGTGCTCTGGTCCCTTTATATTGAGCCTCTTTCCATCATCTATTTGCTAGTTTGTTGTGTATTATGGTGTTTTCCGGTTTGTGCTCCTGAAGTTATCTTTGCGCTTGCTCTAGGTTTTAAAAATCTTGTTTCCAGTATCAGAGTATCATTGTTGCTATTTTGTTTTTCTCTAGCACTGTTTTGCTTAGCTTTAGCTCTTGTGTATTGTAACCTAATTTGGTTTCTCTATTGTTTTAGAATTTTATTTTCTTCATTTCTTATTCTCCCTGTTAAGTGGAAGTATTTTCTTTTGCAATTCCAGTTTATTTTCTAGGATTTTAGTTGTTTACGCTTTATTTTCACTTGTTTGCTATAGTTATATTTCTTTAGTTGTTGTTTCTCTAGTGATTGATCTTCTCAGTTTAATTTTGGTTCTCTTAATTGTTGCTATATCTTGTCTGTCTTGAGTTGAGTCTTGTATGTTCTTCTGTGTGTTCCTGCCCTGTATCCTGAGTTCCCTGGCCACTGACTCTTATGCCGAGTTCAGACTGCACGATTTTAGCCCCGATTTTGGCTCGCCGACAGGTTTTGAGAAATCGCCGACAAATGCCCAAAATCACAGGCAAATCGGTGCTCGTTCACGCGAGTGACAATTACGCAGTGTGAATGAGCAAAGACGCGATCTGAGAGAATCGCCGACGCCCGTGAGATATTTGGCATGCTAAATATCTGGACCTGTCGGCGATTCACAATCCTGCTGTGTGAATGTGTTCTGACTGAAAACTACATCGGCGATGACCGACAGCCAATGAGAGAGCAAGATACAGGGAGGAGGAGGAGTTATAGACCAGAATATCAGTATTTTAATAGATAGGCTTATATTTACAATTATATCAAACAGAAACAAAGCACAAACATTTGCATGACCAGCAGCAACAGCAGGACATTTGCAAAATTATTTATTTACCCGCAACTCTCTTTGCAAAACACAGCTAGTCCTTGCTCCCCTCGTCTTCCCAACCATTTCCTGCATAAACTGTTTATTATTTTTTTCATTTTCGCTACAAATCAGTGCACAGACAATTTGTAGGCTATCATTTTTAATAATAAATTCAGTGTCGCGCGAGAACTCCGGTCTCACGCACGCGTGATCTTCCGTTATTTCCTATCACTTCTCGCGTTTGTTTGGTTGTGAAACGTAGTTTGCGGACCAGGCAGAAGTTTTCGGCGATTCTTTCTTTTGTAAAGTCATGCAGTGTGAAACCTCCTGTCGCCGATCCATCGTGCAGTGTGAACACAGCAGCAACTGAATGTTACCCCAGATAGTCATGCAGTGTGAAAACAACAGTGACCCGATTATTTTGAAAATCGTGCAGTCTGAACTCGGCATTAACTGCCTGACTAGTGATTAGACGGCTTTCTAACGCCTGTTTCAAGCCTCTGGTTCCGTGAGCCTCTACCTGGCGGCAAGACTGGTGCAACATCTGAGATCTACATCAAGCTACGAGTTCCAATTGTGTTCCTGCCTGGTCTTTCCTTTGGAGCTGCCTCTATTGCACTCACGTCATTGCCATCTTACTGACCAGACGGTCTCAGTGGTCATCAGTTGTGTCGTCTGCCCTGCCCTACTGTTTGAACTGTGGTTCACACTTCACTCTCCCTGCTGTCTTCAGTCTGGTTAATGAAACCCCTTGTCTGCTCATTTGCATCTGGGTCCTATCTCTTGCAGAACTGTGACAAAAAGGGTATGAACTTTCAATCAGAGTGCAGAAGGCATCAATAAGATTTTCTAGGAAAGTTCAACAGGTTTTTCAGGAAAGTTTTGTTATAATTTATAAGCATAAATTCACGTATCAAATATGATACAGTAGACTTTACAGGATTAAAGAAGTGTTACTAGTTGTTACTTCAGTTAAATTAAAGTTCTTAAATGGTTAAAGATCTTGACTGATAATCAGACTTATGTTCAAACTTAACTGCCTGACAGCTTATATTGATATATTATATAGGCCACTAAAATGGTGGCGACGACGGATCGCATCTTGGGAGGTGCTGCAATTTCCCTGTTTCTCCAACTAGCCAGCCGTTTTCGTTGTTTTAATGCATACTTGTCTGAGGCTGTATTAAATTTAAGCAGAGCTAAATATTTTAATAATGAGAAATTGGAATCTATGTTTTGTAGTATGTTTTTTTTTATACTACTATTTTCCACCATTGCACTACCAGTACGTGTGGTGTCCAGGGCCGGGTTTCCCGATAACGATGTATCTTAGCTCAAGAGCGCTCTCTACGTGCAAGGTTACGAACGCTCGCGGCAATTCCACGCGCGTTTCCCAAAAATGCACTTAACATGAACGCGCGAGAACGCGCTCTAAGTGCTAAAGCATCGCTGTCCATTCGCGAAGTGCTGAAATATAACCTTATGGAATCGTATTCTATACATTTAACCTAAAAATCGTCAGTGGATTAGAAATCAAGACAAGTCTATATAAAGCACCTATAAAGGCGGAGGCACAAAATGGCTGGAAAAAAAAAACAAAAAACAAGAGAATAGGCCTACCTTTCAAAAAGATAAAATGAATGTCCTTTTAGAGGAGATAGAGCGAAACAAAGATTTTATTTTTAACAGATTTAAAGGACACCATACAAATAAGGAAAAACAAAACATGCAACCAGGGGTGTTCAAAGATCAGGGAAGGTCCGTAAAAATGCCCAATACATGGCTGATTTTCGCGCACGTCAGCAAGTCATTGACAGATTTTTTGGAATTCATCCCTATTTTGCCGTCTTTAAAGCATAATTCCCGCATTATTTCTTTTATGATTTTTTTTTTCATTCATTTAATTTAGATGTGTATTTCTATTTTTTTCTTCCCTTTTTAATTATTTAATTTATAAATTCATTTAAACAAAACACGAGTACAATAAAACGGTACAATAAAGTACAATCAAAACCTTATATTATACTCACGTTGCAGTGTAATGTGTTAAATCTAGATAAAAAGTGTAATCTGCCGGTTGTCCTGCAGGTGACCTCATAACTCGTCTTCTAACGATGCACTTGGGGATTAACGATTACTCCAGAGCACTCGTAGTTCTACGAAGACTTTCAAGTGCTACTTAAGTTACGATGCTTTTGGGAAACAGACCATAATATTAAGATCAGTCGTACGATCTTTTTTACGATCAACTTAGGCTTACGATGCTTTTGGGAAACGCAGCCCAGAACTGTTCACGCTGATCAGCTGTGCTTCAAGAATTCAAGCAATTACATGGATCAGGGAAAAAACTGTCTTTATTTCGATACTCTTCCGGTATCTATCCGTGCGGGAAGTTTTCATCAACTTATTCGGCTATCATGCAATTTATTCATCTGTTTTGAGTTATGGAAACAGACCGTTAGACAACGGAGATCCGGTGTGTTTAATCGAAAGGCTCATGGTTTCTTGCTTATCTTACTACTGCTTTCCGGGGATGTTCAATTAAATCCGGGACCAGTTTACCCAGGAACACAGCAGGACTCTGGAGCTGAGCCTCACTTGGCAACAACCATGGTGGCGTCTCACAATGAAGGGTGTGCCTGGGGATTTCCTGTAGATCTACCTGGCCTCCCAAACAATGAAGTGAGTTTAATCAACACGTTCTCAATGCTCCAAGGTATGACACTTCTACACTACTTTCCAGTCATTCTACAAGAGTAAAAGAAACCCCAATGTATCACGGAAACGCTTCCCTGTGCCGAAATCCTGCAGTAAGAAAGCAGTCATTATGTAAGATCTTTTTAAGACTGCTAATCATGCGAAGGTCCTATGGGATCCGAAAGTGAAACCGAGAGGACTTTTTGGCGGTCATTTGAACATAAGAAGCATTGTTGCAAAGAGCGAATAGTTGTTTCATTTATTATCCAATTCAAATTTGGATTTCCTTTGTATCTCTGAAACGTGGTTGCAACAATCATCATCTTCTAGTCTAGTGTATTTATTATGCCTGGATATCAATGTTTTAGACGGGATAGATCTTCTGGAAGGGGAGGGGGAGTGTTCATTTATGTTAAAGACAGCATTAAGTGTGAACGTCTCATGTTTAACTTCGCTAATGATTTAGAATTTGTGGGGTTGAAAATGATTCTATCTCCTCAAATATCATTTACTGTTTTATGTGTATACAGGCCCCCTTCTGCTAACAATACATTCTATGATCAACTTACAGGAATTTTAAAAGAATGTAATCTTAACAAATAAATAATTTTTATGGGTGATTTTAACTTGAATTGGGAAGATAAATTAAAGAGGAAAAAATTTAAAATTGTTGCAGATAAATTTAATCTAAATCAGTTAATTAAAGGGCCAACTAGAATTGCTAAATCTCCAAAGACACAGTTAGATTTAATATTTGCTAATAAACCTGAAAG